TAGAGGGAGTTTTAAAAGGGTAGGTACTACCACAGCTTAGACCCAATTCCAACATTGTGTGGAATAGACCTCCTGATAGAACTATATCTGTAGGATGCTCTCTCACATGGGACAATGATTGGTTGGGTATGTATGTTGGGATGATACAATCTTTTAGTAATCTTGATCCCAAACTGTAGAACTTTCTATACCATAACTAGCATCACGAACCTAGCCCAACTGGCAGTCTAACTGCAATTATTTCAGCAACAGCATAATAAAATGGCAATATTTCGGCCCACTGAGCGTCAATCCACTGCATTCTGCACAAGCTACAGCTTTCAATTCGGCCTAAAGGGCAGCGCCATGTAGAGCACATTGCAGTAATCTACTCTTCAGTAGCAGTTCAAAAGCACAAAGTGCAAGTAGATAAACAGGTACCGCTCCAGCGGGAAGGTAAACGGCATTTCCGTGCACTGCTCTGGTTTGCAGGAAGCGGCTTAGTCATGCTGGCCACATAACCCAGAAGCTGTACACCGGCTCCCTCGGCCAATAAAGCGAGATGAGCGCCGCAACCCCAGAGTCGTCCGTGACTGGACCTAATGGTCAGGGGTCCCTTTACCTTTACTCTTCAGAAGCAACCGCTTCAACCAGGTAGCAGGCACTATTATAGTGCAGTGGCGCAATTGCTTTAATGGCAAGGTCCAGGACAACCACTTCTAGATACTCACCCCTTCTAGCTATTCTACAATACAGCAAAATCCTGCCCCTTGCAGACTCAAAAATCCTTTCCACTAGTCAAGAGGGTGTTTCAAGAGCTCCTTTCTAGGGAAGGAACTTAAAATGCAACTAATTGCTTGAGAAGGACATGTAGGTCACAAATACCCATTCTGCAGAATTGTCATCTGTTCCATACCAGTAACTAAAATTACTTTTGTTATGCTGAGTTGACTGGTCCCCCCTATTCCAATCCAACTAGTATTTTAGATTGTAAGATCCTAAGGGCAGCAACAAATGCTTTGCTAATCTCACTGTAAAGGGATGAAGAACCTGTGGCTCTCCCAGGTGTTTATTGGACCCCATTATCCCTGACCATGGCCATGCTGGCTGGGATTGATAGAAGTTGGAGTGCAGCAACATATGGGGGTCCATAGGTTCCACACCATGATGTAGGCTACTGTATTGTTGTTGGCCTCTGTCTGTCTCGAGAGACAATAGAAGAGTGCATCATTGGGGGTAAATCACGGGGAGAGTTACAGCGCCTGCTGTGGATGCAGAGACTGATAAGGGAGAGACATGTTTTGTTGCAGCTGGGGCAGATGAGGGCATGTGGTTTCACTCTTACAGATGCACCCTTGTGTTTCTTTTCTCTGCATATGTAATGTTATAGTTGCAATCCATTACATCAGTGGTTCCCAACTGGTGGTCTGTGTGATCCACCCAGGGGTTACTTAGCACCGTTCACATATTAAAAACTACCATAGAGGTATCAAAATTTACAAAGGCAGGAGGTCAATGGCTTGGCTTTTGAGCCCCTGCTTTACATGATTACCAGGTAGCAAGTTTCCCTGAACTCAGTGTGGCTTCTCAGCACATATCTAGGAATGCACATAAAATAAAGGCATAGGGAGGGGAAAGGTGGGGAAAATATTAACCCCCCACCAGTCTCTGCTTAAGTTGATTCTTCTCCAAGGCTGCTCCACACAGCCACAATCGGGATCCATGATGACATCAGGCAGGTGTGCACCAAGGATGCACCAGATACTACCCCAAATCAAAAAAGAAACCAAGCCTGTGCTAAAGGCTTAGCTGAGAGATCAGCAACCTTATCAAAGGATGGGCCAGTCAGAGGATGGGCCAGAGCATGTGTGCATGCGCGCTCTTCTGGGTCAGAGGAGCGCCCGTGCGCACACGCTATTTTTCCAACGCTCCTCTGATCCAGAAGTGTGCTGGAAATAGTGTGCGTGCACGTGCACAGGCACTTCTTCATCCTGCACGCATGTGCACACACTATTTTCGGCACACATCTGGGTTGGAGGAGTGCCTGTGCACATTCGCACAGGTGCCATCAACCCGGAAGTCGATCCCCACAGTGCGCCGGTAAGAGCGGGGGGTGCCAGGGGTCGCCATGTGCCAGTTAGACAAGCCTTGTGGGCTGCTACCGGCCCATGGGCCTTAGGTTGCCGACCCCTGGCTTAGCAGATTCACGCCGACTTACAAGCCCATTCACTACTTGCAACATTCTGTGAGGCGGGATCAGCTTGAGCACGCAGATCTATCCTCAAGCCCATGTGTGCTTTGTAGCAGAGTGGGCAGCCTCTCCCAACCCAGGGCCACCTCTTTATCCACAGAACGATCTAACCACTATGCCACACCACCCCTTTATACTGCACCTACCCCATGGCCTCCATGTAACTATAACATTCCTGCCTATCCTGCTTACAGGAACAGGGTAATTAGAAATAAATATAAATGATTTTTTTTTAATGAATTGAAATGAGGGTCGGAATCCCCCCCCCTCAAATAAGACAGGTATTGGGCGTGGCACGAGGGCGCCCTATTCCGTTCCCTCCCACTGACACCCCGCCCACTAGAAGACCCCCCGAGGCCCCGCCCCTCCTCCCTCACCCCGCCCTCGCCCCCTCCCTTACGCACCCTCATGCGGAGCTCGTAGCTGGTGTATCTGGCCCGCCCGACGCCCACGGTCTGCGGGTTGAAGATGTCGATCTCCAGGAAGTTGCTGGGCGGCCCGTAGGCGTCCGTCAGGTCCTGCGGCTTCGAGTTGAGGCGCCGCGTGTCGGCCACGGCCGCCTCGGACATAGCGGAGAGGGAAGGAGGGGAGATTCTCGTGGTCAGAGCCGCCTCAGCGGAACGCGCCCTGCCGCCGCTGCCGCCAGCTTCTCCTCACAGCCGCGGCGCCGCAATACCATGGCGCCGCCCCGGAACCTGCGTGGGGAAGCGCCGCGCCGTGCCCGCCCTGCATAACTCCGGTGGGGATTCATGTTCCGGGGCCCGCCTCCTCCCTCTGACAAGCCGCGCCAGCCCCGCAACGCGCATAAGCAATAACGGGCACATTGGTTAAGCGGCGGAGTTTATGAGTTATCTTCGGCGCGTGGCTGCGCGCCACCGAGCCCTGGAACCTGTATGGCGCAGCAGTGGTCAGTTTATGGTGCGGGGCCGCCGCTAGGTGTCCTACTCCGAGCTCTGCGCCGTGAAGTGCCTTGCATAACTGGCAGAATAATCCATGGCGCGGGGAGGCTCCTGGGCGCTGCATCCCTGCGCATGCGGCGCTGGCGCTGCCGGTGGAACCGGTGGGGAGCGTTTTGTTGTTAGCCCCCGGTTCGATCACAGTTATTATTATTATGCATTTTAACTTGTATTAACGCCCCCAAACCCGCTAAGGATGAACTCAAAGTGCCTCGCAGTCCGAAATCCATAACACAAACAAACGTTACAAAACGGTGCGCGACTGCAAATGTAACCGCAGCACATATATGAATAAAACAAAACAGGTTTCAGTGGCAGCAGGTCTTTCTTATGTTTTTATCGCCGCTCTTCATTTGATTTACAGTATTTATTGCAGATGGTGACAAAATTTAAAAAAAGCAGAGACATCACCTTGCCAACAAAGGTCCGTATAGTTAAAGCTATGGTTTTCCCAGTAGTGATGTATGGAAGTGAGAGCTGGACCAGAAAGAAGGCTGATCACCGAAGAATTGATGCTTTTGAATTATGGTGCTGGAGGAGACTCTTGAGAGTCCCATGGACTGCAAGAAGATCAAACGCATCCATTCTTAAGGAAATCAGCCCTGAGTGCTCACTGGAAGGACAGATCCTGAAGCTGAGGCTCCAATATTTTGGCCACCTCATGAGAAGAGAAGACTCCCTGGAAAAGACCCTGATGTTGGGAAGATGGGGGGCACAAGGGGAAGGGGATGACAGAGGACGAAATGGTTGGACAGTGTTCTTGAAGCCACCAACATGAAACTAAACGACTAAACAACAAAAAAAAATTATTTGTGATACATCGTTATCCAAATATTTTTCAATAAAAACAGCATATCACAGTGCAAGAAGCATTCAGTAGCTGTAGCTTGGTATAGCATGTGCTTTGTGCAGAAGGTCCCAGGTTTAGTCCTCCACATCTTCAGGGAAGGTAGCTTATGTCCCTGGAAAGTTTGCACTAGTCAGTATATAGACAGTGTTGAGCTAGATGGGCATGTGGGCTGACTCTGTTTGTGGCAGTTTCTTATGTTATTAGCTCAGTGGTGAAGTGCTTGTTTCACATGCAGAAGGCCCCAGAGTCAATGCCCAAAATCTCCAGGTAGGGTTGGGAATGTCCCCAGCCAGATACCCTGGAGAGATGTGTAGACAGTACCCAGTAAACAAGGTTGGGCTATTTTCATAAGGGGTGCATAATGGGCTTTTCCTGTATTTGTATGAGAATATAATTTGTATTAGAAGGTCATGATCCCACACACCATCCAAAAATTGTAAGATTGCAGGATCCCCAAAGGGGTGCTCTGCGGTGACCTGGCTTCAGGCACCAGGCCCATTGGTAGACCAATTCTGTGTTACAAAGATGTCTGCAAACAAGACATGAAGGCTGGCAACATCAACTCTGCTATGTGGGAATCCCTTGCAGATGACCACAGTGCTTGGAGACAGGCTATGTAACCATAGCAGTGACCAAAGAATGAATGACCTCTGGGAGAAGCGCAGAGAGGAGAAACACCATGATGCATCTGCAGTAACACAATTGGATCCCTTCATCTGCCCCAGCTGCAACAAAACATGTCTCTCCCATGCCAGTCTCTACAACCACAGCAGGCGCTGCAACCTTCCAACAATTTGACTTCAGCCCCAAAAGCACACTCCTCCATTGTCTCCCGAGGCAGATGGATGCTCACAATTAGAATGAAATAATTACACTGGCTAGTGTGCACACTAGATTTCAAACGTTCTATAGTTTTGGCTTTCTGTGGTGTTCTATATAATTTGCAAGTGACACAACAACTGGGGGGTGGAGGTGAAAGAGCTTTAATGTTAAAAGTATGAAATTTGCAGCCAGAAGATGTGGCTCCACAGATGAGAAGTTGCCAGTGGAAAGGCCTTCTCCTTTGTCACCATCTTCTGAGCCTCCCTCGAAGGAGGGACCTGGAGAAGGGCTTAGATGAAGATCTAAGTGGCCAGAGGCTTTCATTTTGGGAGAGACATTCCAGGAGATATTGGGGTCCTGAGCCACAAAGATCTGTGCAAACACAAAATGGACACAGCTTAGCTATCGAAGGGGTGTTGTGCAGTATACTTCTGATTACCAGTTGCTGGGAATCACAAACAGGGAGAATGCTCTTGTGTTCAAGTCCCATTTGAGTAATTTCTGGGGCAGCTCCCCACATGAACCCACCTGGACCCCACTTTCATCATCAGAGGCCTTTCTCCTTGTACCCCCCCTAGGGAAAGGTGGTGTGTGCCAACACAAGAAAGGTATTTTCAGCAGGTGAATCAGCAGTCTTTAGGACATTCTGAATCCTAGAACACTCTAGGAATTGTATCACAGTGAGGGGGAAAGGGGCCTCCTAACAACTTTAATCACTCTTAAGGAAACTACCCTTCCCAGGATCTTTTGGGGGAAGGCCTGACTGTTTAAAGTCCAGGCACTGAGTTCCAGCTCCGAGAGCCTTCTGGCAGATCCCTCACTGGGAGAAGTGAAGTTACAGGGAACCAGCAGAGGGCATTCTTGGTAGTGGTGCCTGCGCTGCAGAATGCCCTCCCATTAGTTGTCAAGGAGATAACCATATGTCTTCTTGAAGACATATGAAAGCAGCCCTGCATACAGAAGTTTTTGATGTTTTATTGTGTTTTTGTATTTTGCTGGAAGCCACCCACAGTGGCTCAGGGAACCTAGTCAGATGGGTGGGATATAAATAATAACATTATTATTAAACTGGTATGACGCTGGTTTAAAATGTACACTTCAGGTGCCCCTTCCCCTCTTCAGCCAGTTTCATGGCTGAAGAGCTGACCTTTGCTCACCTTGCACCGCAGGCAGCATCTGTCCTGAGTTCCTCCAACCGAGGAAGCTCATCCTCTCCAGAGACAAGCTGAATCTTGCAGCATCTTCTCAACTTGAGCGAAGCTTGCCTCCCCGCCCTCGCCCCCCCCCCACAGAAGCAGTTTTATTCACATGTGAAAAACTGCAAATGTATTTTTCAATTTCTAAATGTCTATCTCATATGGAGAGAGAAAAACCACATGCAGAGACTTTGTGTAGAATAGTAATAAGCACAAACACACAAGCGAGAGAATTTGTGTAGGTTTAATCGATTAATAAATCAGTTGGCTAGCTGTCGTCTAATCAATCATTGAAGACGCCTTTAATCTGGCTGCACCATCCACGCGCGGGAGGGGGGCGATTAGACAGAACAGCCCCGGCAGAGTTTCGCCGTGGCGGGCAAAGGGGGGAGTAGCAGCCGCTGGACACACCAGCCAAAGGAGTGGGAGCGCAGCGCCGCCTAGCACGGCGCACTTGTTTTGGATGAAGCGGATTGGTTGGTTGCTTATGTAACGCCGGCACGGTGGGGCGGGGGGGGAGGAGGAGGAGGGAGACAGAAGGGTAAGCGAGAAGTTGGAACTCTGGGATTTGTAGTCCGCATGATCTCCCTCCTTCCTCGAAAGAAAGTCTCGCGCTTGGCCTGACGGGAAACCGCGTCCAGCTTCGAGACGCTTCCCCCCGCCCGCCGTCGCCTCGCTTGGGGGACTACGGCTCCCAAGGTGCACCGGGTGCGCACGCGCGGGCTCATTTCCAACTCCCCCGCCCCTCTCCCCGTCTGTGATAAACAGTGCCGCCGAGGCGCCTGCTCTCGTGGCGGAGCGCTCAGTTCCGAGCAAGAATCGGCGGCGAGCGGGAGGGCCCTCAGGGCGGGCGGTACCACCGAGAGATCGAGATCGAGGCGCGGGCAAAGCCGCCGCTCGGGCCGCGCCACCTTCGGGCGAGGACCTGGGAGATCGCCGCGCGGGTCCGATCGCCGGCGGGTGATGTGGCGGCGCTGAGGGCGGCCGGAGACCCGGAGCGTCGCCATCATGGCGGAGAGCCCCTCAGCGGCGGAGTCTCCCTCGGTGGCGGCGGCTTTGGACCCGGAGTTCCCCCCTCAGAGCCGGCCGCGCTCTTGCACTTGGCCGCTGCCCCGGCCGGAGCTGGCGGCGGCCGACACGGAGCCCGGGGCAGCGCCCGGCAGCGGGCTGGGGAGCCCTGAGGAGCCGGCCGGGGTGGCGGCGGCCGGGGCAGCGGCGGCCGCGGCGCCGGGAGGCGGCGGCGGGTCCGGCGGAGCGCGGAAGAGCGGCGGCGGCGGCGGGTCCGGCGGCGGGGCGCGTCGCAACGCCTGGGGCAGCCAGTCTTACGCGGACCTCATCAGCCAAGCCATCGAGAGCGCCCCGGACAAGCGCCTGACGCTGGCGCAGATCTACGAGTGGATGGTCCGCTCCGTGCCTTACTTCCGCGACAAGGGCGACAGCAACAGCTCCGCCGGATGGAAGGTGAGTGCCCGGGGGTGGCGAGGGGGCAAGAAGTGGCTTCGTGGGGAAAGGGAGACAGCAGAAAACCAGCCGACAACAACAAAGCAAGAGAACACGCCGCGGGGTTGATTCGGTTTGTTATCCACTTACGCCGCTTTACATTCGTAAAGCAGCTTACAAACAGAAGACAGCAACAGCACAATGTGCCCGCCTAAGTTACTGCACTCGGAGTAGACCCATCGGAATCACCTAACCCAAATTGAGCCGTACCCAGTTATTTCGGTGGGGCTGATCGGGAGTGGGGGTGGCATATTAGATGCAAGCCTATATCCACGCCGCTTTCCATTCGCATGAATTGCAAAGTGGCTAGCAAAGAGAAAACAGCAATAGCATAATGTGCCCCACTAAGTTACTGCACTTGATATAAACCCATCGGAATCAGCGGGCCGAAATTGAGTCGTGCCCAGTTATTTCGGTGGGTCTGAACTGGAGTGGAGCTGGCATATTGGATGTGATCCTGTAATTTGGGCAGTTCTTCTGCTTAGTAAGGCCACAAGAGAGTGTGCAGGATCTTAAGTTTTCTCCGGAACCCATCCAGTGAGGTGGTGAACAAAGCACCTGGGCTCTCTTGACCCTGCCACCTTCCTTCTCCAGTTTGCTCTGTTCACCATCTAAACCAGGGGTCCTCAAACTTTTCCAGCAGGGAGCCGGTCCACTGTCCCTCACACCTTGTGGGGGCCCAGACTATATTTTTTTTTGGGGGGGGAAATGAACAAATTCCTATGACCCGCAAATAACCTAGAGATGCATTTTAAATAAAAACACACATTCTACTCATGTAAAAACACCAGGCAGGCCCCACAAATAACCCAGAGATGCATTTTAAATAAAAGAACACATTGTACTCCGGCTGCCAGCCGGATTGTGAAGGCAGTTTGCCTTAGTTTGCCTACCCATGATCTAGCCTGCCTGCTGAACAATTCTGAGGAGCTCCAGTGCCTATGTGATGTTTTTGCCATTCCAAATAATAGCAAATGGTTCAAATTTGGATTTTGGATACTTTTCTTATGGTCCATTGTGGCTACATTTTATGCACATGGATGATAGTGTTCCTGTGGTGTGCTTGAGTGCTGCCTCCTGTGCTCTTGTTTCAGGAGCCATTGCAACATTCCTGTAAGGTAGGCTAGTATTATCTTTCCTGTCTTGCAGAGTTGGAAGATTGAGTGAGTGTTGTTGACCGCTGAGTATGGTGAAAGGGAGATTGAAGCTGACTGCTTCCTGATTGTTTGTTGCTAAGCTACATGGAGCTATGACACTTCTACCTTTTCTTCCTTATCTCTCTTTCCACATCCCCCAACATCCCTGTGTTTATTCTTATATACTACATTTCCAAGCCATTTTTCTGCCAGGGCACCCAAAGGCATATAGTGACATGTGGTCTAAAAGACAAATACAGAATGCAAATACAGGAGGAGAAAAGAATACCTTTTCTTGGCAGGGTTTCTGTATCATCCTGAACCAACATTTTAATGCTTGGCAGATTATGCTTCCACCTTGCTTTACCAGCAACATCTTGACTTTGTGGCTTTTCATAATAAAAGTTTTAGGATACTGCCCCTTTGCTTTTAGAATTTTTTTGAGACCAAAGACCTCAACAGGTGACACTTTTTCTTGACAGAGCTGTGTGCCAGTGTTAAAGGCACTTGAAAGAATTAAAAGGTGGAGACATCAGGGGATTGGGCACTGTCAGATTTTTACATGGAACCGTGTATAGCAGAGATTTTCAACCTTTTTGAGTCCATGGCCCCCTTGACCAGCTACATTCTTTCTATGGCTCCCCTCTGGGCAAACACGTTCTGGGTCTCAGAAGCCCAGTTATGTCACACCCTCCCTCGTAGAGTGTTCCCTCAGCCTCCTCTCCTCTCCCCTCTCCCTAGGAGTTCTCGGGGCAGCCGCCGCCTCCACCCCTGGTCTCTGAGCTCCCCCCCCCCACCAAACAAAGGTGCCTGCTCCCTGGCCTGCCCCAGAAGCCTCATTCGCCTCTGGAGCTTGCTGCAACAAACAGCCACAAAAGCCTTTGGAAGGTTGAGACGCAAGAGGGCATCAGAGGAGGGAGAGAAGAAAAGAGGGACAGAGGCCAGTGTTGCCTGTGGCACCCTGGCTATCATTCAAAGCACCCCAGGGGGCCACGGCACACAGGTTGAGAACCACAGATGTATAGCATTGCGCTGGCACTGGGATTATTAGTCAGCCTGCAAGCCAATTTCCAGGGCCAGCTAGGGAGGCATGGGAAAAGCATTCATCTCTTGCAGAGAACATGAATGCGGAGTGTTGGAGAGAGAGGATAGTAAATAAGCCTTGTCCGTACAAAGGAGTCTGCTTCCTCTTGCGACCGATTGTGGTAGGGACTTTGGAGCTGCTAGATTTTAACTCTTCTACAGTTTTTGATCCACATGGAGAGGCTGCTGGATTTGACTTGGTGTATTTCTACATGTGCTAGTAATGTTGACTTCTGCAGGGTGGCTCTCAGAACAAAGGGGTGGATTGGTTCAGTCTCCTTTTTCCTGTGTCACAACACTGGCCTGATTACTGTGTGATGTCCCAGATACCCATAGTTTAGCTAAATTCCAAGGGCAAACAGTTAACAGAGGATAGCCCTTTCTGAAGATGTCATCTGTGCTGGATTAGGGAAATCTTGTTGCCAGAAATTGGGAGGATGATAGTAAAAATGCTGTCTTTAGGGACTGAAAATATTCTGGAAATGTTCTCTCATCCTCCCCCCACCTCCTTCCTGCACATACTGTATTTACTCAAATCTAATGCTCACCTTTTTTGGCCAAATTACATTGCAAAAAATACAGTGCGCATTAGATTCGATGGCACATTTACATTCTCCAGCAAATCCTTTTTTTGTTTCAAGGTCCTGAAAATTGAGGTGCACATTAGATTCAATGCTGCATTAGACTTGAGTAAATATGGTAGCTGATGTCTTCTAAAAACATAGCTTTAGACAGGAATTTGGGGAGATGGGGAGAAGGAATTCCAGCTTTGTTCTGTTCCATACAATTTTCTCTTATATGAATTTCTTTAAATAATCTGTTAGTTCAGACATGCCTTCTGCAGCCTGGTGCCCTCCAGATGTTTTGGGTTATGTTTCCCATCAGCCTGACCATGCTTCCTGAGGAGGATGAAAGTAGTACCCAGAGGACAGCAGGTGGTCTAGAATGACTCTTTTTACCTAGGCAAACCTTGCCTTGGATCAGCCTAAATATTTATCTGGGCCAGCAGTGCCTTTGATAGTATCTAATAAAGGGTAGTGAGCAAGTATTAGGAGATGGACTTGGGGGGTTTCACAGCTGACTACTTCCCCACCCCATGTGTGTCTTTTCCTTCTTCCCTCCAGTGTGACCCTTAAGTTCACTTTGTTTCAGCACTTCCAAGAAAGGCCACTCCCTGCCCCCTTTGTAAATGTTCTCAGAGATTTCTTGGAAAGGCACAAGCTCGATCTGGAACTCTAGGCCAAGCTGCTGTGGAAGACCAAGTGTCACTTGAATAGTTTTCAATACTGGGCTTCAGTTCTTTGTCACCCAGCTGCGTTGATACTCAGTATAAATAACTCCTTCATAGCATGCATTCCTGGCTCACACAACCCTTCCTTCAGAACAAGAACTCCGGGCAGAGAGGGAACATGCATGCTCTGTGCTGAGGAAGTTCAGTAAGGCTGAAAAGGCACTTAGAACGATCACTCTTTCTTTCAGATATGAGCCTTATTTGTCCTAAAAATGGGAAATGCCTGTATTAAAGGGAGTTGGCTCCTTTAGCGGCTTCATATGAGGTAGCTGTCCCGCTCTCGCAGGCCTATTCAGAATCCCAGAATAGCACCACATGCAAAGAATTACTTCTTGCAAGCTCGCATTTAAAGTACAGTGGTACCTTGGGTTACATACGCTTCAGGTTACATACGCTTCAGGTTACACACTCTGCTAACCCAGAAATAGTGCTTCAGGTTAAGAACTTTGCTTCATGATAAGAACAGAAATCGTGCTCCGGCGGCAGCAGCAGGAGGCCCCATTAGCTAAAGTGGTGCTTCAGGTTAAGAACAGTTTCAGGTTAAGTACGGACCTCTGGAACAAATTAAGTACTTAACCTGAGGTACCACTGTAGTAACAAAAAAATACTCTTTTGCTTTTGAAGCACATGGACTTGCTTTGATTTCGGAGTTAATTTCCCCTCTTTTGCAAATACAGACAACTACCCTGTAGTTTATTCTGTGGTGCAGAAGCTTGCCTGAGGATGTCCCATAGGCTTCAAGGCTCAGCAGAACTTGAACTTGGTTACCTGTGTTCATATCTATCACACTGGCTGCCTTTTGTTTCTTTAGTCAATTCTCATTGTCCTCCACCCCCCTCAAACCCCGTCTGCCAAGTAAATGAAGATGTTCTGTTAGTGAAGGATGAATTAACAACAGTCCTATAAGCAGACACTGAACAGTTTCTTCCTGTCCTTTATTCTGCAGGATTCCCTTGTATGGATAGACACTTAATGAAAGGTTTTGTTCTAAAGCAGTTGAAAACACATGTTTTGGCAGTGAGAACTGTTTTGAGCTGTCACTTATGCCAGGCGTCTCCCATACAGGTGTCAGGAATATGGTTAAAGTCCCTTTCCCAGTGCTTGTGCTTTTAGCACGGGAAGCACAAGGATTTGCCAACAATATTGTGCCTTAATATTTATTTATTTTCTATCTTTAGAGAAGCATTCTGTATCATGCCAGTGAATCTGAGCACTGTAGTTAGGCCTGAACAACATAGACTATAAAATTAATCCCACCCAATTGACTAGAATGTGGTCTAACTCCCCCCCTTAAATCCATCTCAACTAAAAGAAAATACCGTAGATTCCGGCGTATTAGGCGACTGGGCAGCTTCCTCCCGGCGTGGAGCCCGCCGCCCACTGCTGCTGCCCAGCGAAGCTGTCGCCGCTGCATCAGTGGGTGGTGGGCTCCATGTTGGGAGGAAGCTGCC